GTCCTTTGGGCAGCCTTGTTTAAGTCTGTGAAATCCACGCACATTCGCCATTTCCCATTTTTCTTTTTGACCATGACTACATTGGCGACCCATTGAGGATATTTTGATTCTCGGATGGAGCCGTTAGCGAGTAGTTTATCCACTTCCTCGTTGACAGCCTCATTGATTGCGGCGTTGAATTTTCTTCTTGCTTGTTGTACTGGGGGGTAGCATGGATCGATGTTCAATTTGTGTGTGGCGACATCTTTCAAAATCCCAGGCATATCTGCATGGGAGAAAGCGAACAGATCGACATTATTGGTTAAAAATTCATGAAATTTACCTGGCTCGGAGAGCTTATGGCCTATATAGGCCTTTTTGTTGTTGTCGCTGCTATCTAGTTGGACGGGGTCGAGATCTTCTATTGTCGATCCGGCGGCCTCCACGATATTGGGATCCTTAATAACGTCTTTTCGATCATTGGGTTTAGACCCCGACTTCGTTAATTGCTATGTTTCTGAGCTTGTTCCTTTTAGCTACTGAGTGAATGTGCAATCTTGAGCAATGCGGTAGCATTCTTGGGATGTGCGTTGTTCGCCTCGGATGATGGATATTCCATACGGGGTAGGTAACTTGATTACTTGGTATAGACTGGACGGGATGGCCCTCATGGCATGTATCCATGGTCGTCCGATGATTGCGTTGTAAGTTGTATCCTGGTTCATGACGTGGAACGTTGTTTCCAAGGTGATACCTCCGGCCAGGACAGGCAGTGTTATTTCTCCTGAGGTTCGTTCGACTGCATTGTTAAAGCCCGTTAGTGTTATATAGCGTGGTACTATCCTGTCCTTGAGTCGCATTTGGAGTACTCAAGGATGGATAGTACACGCGCCGCTTCCATCGTCTACCATTATCCTTTTAACATCAGTATCCGAAATACCTAAGGTAATGACAAGAGCATCAGAGTGAGGAAAAATCAAACCGTTGGTATCCGACTTATCGAAGATGATACTTTCTTCGAGGTCATCATACCGGTCGTGAGTGATTGACCGCTTCAGCTTGTGTGTGGTGGTGAATTCTAATGGTTGATCGCTGCTTTGCCGCCTCCACAGATGATCATCTGAATGGTGCGGGTAGGAGAGGGCGGCTTTGGAGGCCCCTGGTGTTGTTACCGTCCGCGGCCGAAGTTGGATCATCCTCGGTCACTCATTAGTTCCTTCAAGTGCCCTTGGTTAATCATGTTAACCACTTCTTGCCGTAGAGCTATGCAGTCCTCGGTCCTGTGACCCTGCTCTTGGTGAAATTCACAAAAGACGTTTGACTTTTGGGTACTGGGGTCGGACTTCATTTTTTGCGGCCATTTCACCTTCGTGCCAAGCTTCTCTAGCGCGTACATTACCTCTGAAGGGGAAACACAAAAATTGTGAGCGGATAAGAGTGGGGGCATACCTCTTTCGTTTCGCTGAGTCTCCGTGTGCGGCCTAGACAGGCCTTTCATAATTCGAGGGGATGGTGGAACGGTCCTATCTCGGTTGAGACGTGTTCCAGGATGATCTCTTCGAGTGTCATTACGACGGTCTTTCCTTGGCTCTATTTGGATTGATGTTAAACGTTGGGTTGGACTGTTAAGGTCGTCATCGTCTGCTCTTACCTCGGCACCGTAGGCGTTATGAATTTCTTCCCAAGTGGTGGGAGGATATTTCATGAGCCTGCTTAATAGCTTTCTAGTTGCTCTTGACCCGTTCCTATTCAACCCGTTTTGGAAGGCTGCTACCGCCATTCCTTCTGATACGTTTGGTAAGCCCATTCTCGCCCTGTTAAACCGAAAGAGGAAGTCCCTGAGTCCCTCGCCTGGCGATTGCCTAACGACGAATATGTCGTTCACCCTGGCCTCCGCTTTCTTAGCTCCAGCGTGGGCGGTGACGAACTTATCAGCCATTTCTTCAAACGTTGTTATGGATTGTGGTGGTAGTTGTGAGTACCAGGTTAGGGCTCCTCCAATTAGGGTTTTGCCAAACTTTTTTAGTAGTACTGACGGTACTCGCTCCTTTGATAGATTGTTGCCCTTTACTGCCATGACATAGTGAATGATGTGGTCCTCTGGGTCCGTGGTACCATCATATATTTTTAAATATGGCAGCATTTTGAAGGTCTTGGGTATGGCATGCGGGGTTGCCTCCTCGCTATACGGTTGTTCAACGAATCTACCGACGTCTCGTTTTGGTAGCAGTTTCGGAGCTCCCGGTATCTTATCTACCCTTTCTTGATGTTCTCTCTGGTCGCGGAGTGCCTTATTTTCGTTTTCCATTTCTTCCATTTTCTTTAAAATGGTTGCCGGTGCGTTATTGCCTGCATCAACAATGGTGTGAGTGTTACTTGTTGGGAGAGCTGGTTGCTCACCGGTGATCGTTGTGACATCTGCCGGTGTGACATTCCGGTTTGCTTTTTGAACGGGTTTGTCAAGTATGCCATTGAGGGTACTTGTCAACCACTCCTCCAACAGTTTCTTCACTGCCGGTGGTGCTTCCTCAGCTGTGGATGTGGAAGCTCCTCTTTCGCGTGAAGTGGTTACACTTTCACGAGGGGAAGGTGAATCACTCCGCCTGGGCGTAACGCTTGGCGTCACATTCTCATTGTCTTCTCTGCCATCCTTGTTGATGGTGTTCAGAATGTTTGTAGTGACACCTGCTATTGCTTTTTGTCTTGTATCTCCTTTTCCTGCCATTGTTAGTTTATGCAAAGCGAGGAAAAGGTGGCTATCCCTTTTTATGATCTAGAAGAAACTAAACTTTTAACTAAAACCCCACAGACGACGCCAAATTGTTTGACCAAAAAGTGTTAAGCTCTTTAGTTAAACCAATTAATAATGATAAGAAGGGTGAATCTTAGTTAAGGATAATAAATTCTAGACCAGATGTTAAACGAAGTATGCAAGACGGAAGATGTCAATAAATATGTTTGAGCTGATTAAATGCTCATAAATGCAACAACATAAATGTACAATGAATATAGATTAACGCTACTAGCATAACAAAAAGGATTTACTTCCCAAGTATTGTGATATTCAAACGATTCCTTCTCCTGACAACAACGTGGAATGAATGGAATAATAGAGAGTTCTAGGATCCTTGGATCTCGCGAATATAGAACCAAAAATGTAGGTTCGAACAAGGTAATCAACGAATGAGACAATTTTAGTATATTCTCAGGTCAACTCTTTACATGAAGTACTTTTTCAGAAGTGAACCTCCTTTTGTTCTCTATCTCTTCCTATTTATAAGGGACATTTCCCAAAAATCCTAAAAAAGGAATATTCCTTGCGTCTATATTTGAACTTAGGTTACCGTTGTCTCCTTGTCACAGGTGCCCGTCTTTGGCATCAAACGTCTTGAAAGCAAACCTCAGTCATTATACTATGGTCGACCCCGTCCTTTATCTTAATTATACTTTACCATCGATACGCCAAATTTAGACCTATACAGTATGCAAAAAATAGATTTCAATATCAAAATGATTGCCTATAGCTTATTGAATGTCAATTTTAGTAACAGAAAAAAAAAATAATAATAATAATAATAATAATATAATAATAATAATAATAATAATAATAATAATAATAATAATAATAATAATAATAATAATAATAATAATAATAATAATAGGGTTCGATCCTGCCCGGATGGGCCACTTAAATCCTTCAACGGATATGGAGGGTGGGCCAGACAACCATTTCTCTAAGTAAAAATAGCACGGGCTAGCCAGTTTTCGGACTGGTAATTTTAAAATAGCCAGCGTTTGCAAAGTCATTGAAAAATAGCCATTATTTTGCTGCAACACGGAAAGTTCCAGCATAATATATACTGGAGATTGGTGCACATGCCTATGAACTTCCAACATATTATGCTGGAACTCCAACACATGGAAAGTTCCAGCATAATATACTGGAGATTGGAGCACCTATGTATGAACTTCCAGCATATTATGCTGGACCAGTATATTATACTGAAATTCCAGTATATTGTGCTGGATGTCTAGTAGATTATATCGGAACTCCAGTATATTATACTTGAAGTCTAGTATATTATATTGGAACTCGAATATACTATGCTGGAATATTTTTCGGATTTTGAATAGTGTTTTCGTTCAGATTTATCTTTACATGAAAAGTAGCTAAATTCCGATTACTTTTGAAACTACAATTATTTTTCAATTACCACTTGTAAATCTGACTATTTTTGAATTTCTCCCTTTCTCTAAAGCAACCAGGCCCCAACCCGGCCCCCTAAGGGCAACCTCGATTGACCCTGATCGGGAACTGATAGGGCTCAACCTTAGGGGGCCGGGCTGGCCCCATTTGGCCCGATTGACAAGCTTGCTTTTGAATAGCCTTTTGCCTGAAAAGGACTCACTAATTCAGAGTTGGATGTGATCTTAAAGATTTTGTGGGACAAGTGTTTTTAAAAGCAAGCCTATTTTATGATGGTTATGGGTCTATTATAAATATGTGATGTAAATTTTTGTAAAGGAGCTCTCCGTAGAAGGCTAGCTTATATACAGAATGGTTGTATGGCCTCTCTCCTTTCATGCTGTTGTAATCAGCAAACTCTTTTTTTTGGACATAAGAATTGTGAAGTTCCGGAAAAAAAAGTGATTTTTTTCAAGTGAAAATAATATTTGAAAATTAGAGTTTTCTTTAGACATTAATACAATTTGGAGCTGTTTTTCAATTTTTGTGAGTGATTTGAAGTAAAAATTTAGAAAAATGATCTTTTGGAGTATTCCAAATTTCTGAAAAATTCTGAAATTCAACTTCAAGTGAAATTTGAAAATTTCATGGTCAAACACTGATTCCGAAAAAAGTGAATTTTTTTTGAAAAAAGTAATAAAAAAAAAAAAAGAATATTCCCAAACTGGCCCCTATAGACAGAATTATCCAATATTTGTGCTAGTAAAAATTTCGTTGAGAAACACACAATTTGACCAAGGCACCACCTTATTCAAAAAAAAAAAAAAAGACTTTGTCCAATCAAGAAAAGATTGTATTCCCATATTTGATAAAGCAATAATAATAAGGTCACAAGTAGTACTATTATTTGAAACAGAAAAATACCTCTCTAACACAGGAAATACTCAACTCAACGCACGAACACTAGTTACATACTCTCAGTCACAGCGCGTAATACAGCAAAAACCAGCTCAACTCAACTAATTATGCGATCGCATCATTAAGTAGTCTTCCATGCTGAAAGAGGTGGAGTTTCTGAATTTTTGTAAGTACTCATACCGGGAATGTACCTATCGCCTTGGACTGCATTAGCTGAAGCAATGGATTCAAGTTCCGCCATATCTTCTGATGTTAACTTGATGGACAGGGCTCCAATGTTCTGGTTCAAGTTTTCAATCTTAGTGGTGCCCGGGATAGGACACACGTCGTTTCCTTGGTGATGCACCCAGGCCAAGGCTAGTTGAGACGGGGTGCATCCTTTCCTAGCTGCCATTTGACAAATCCTCTCGTACAAGTTATTGTTATGCTCAAGATTCTCGGCTTGGAACCTTGGTAGATGCTGCAAAATCGAAGAGCTATTCAAGTCAAATGAGGAAATGCCTACTTTATTTTAAATTGCTTTAGGGTCTTGACATATTTATAGAACATACCCCAAATAGACAATATTGCTCAGCAATAGAGGAAAAACAATTAGTAACAATGATCGTCATGAAGGAGAGCAATGGATACTGATTTAGAAATGGCAATATATGTTGCGCCAGAACTTCGTACACATGTATGAAGAAGTTTACCATGCGGGGTTGGGCATAAAAGTCAAGAACATGTTAATCAAGAAAAACGTTCCTTTCATCCAACGAGCACATATGTAAATATTAAGCGTGTTTGAGATGTGAAATTCCTAAAGTAAAATGCTACAAAGCAAGACGTGAAAACTTCTTAACAGGTAGAATGGCCTTCAATCGTGTAGGTTCGCCTACTCATCCGCAAACATGTATATTTCGACCTAAGGGTACATCGTATATATGCATAAATAAACTCCCTTGTCAGGAAGCAAGTTCCTTTTAAATGGTCTATGTATTACAACTTGTCAATATAAGGCACTAACGTAAAGTTCACTTCATTCAACAGTAGTAGCCGTAGCCCGTAGCCACAGATACAATTCTCAATCAACAAGGTCAAAATATAATGTATGTAGCCGTTGGGCAGAAAGCATCTTCAGTGGCCCAAGTATTAACTAACTACTTTATGGGAAAGGAGAGCGATTAAATACACTATAGTGGTAGCAGAAACAGCAAACGTCAGCTATAATACACTACATTGCTCCTTATACATGAGGCATTTCATACAACGAATGAAAGCTTTCATCCCCCGAAAAAAAAGGAACTTTTGTCCCTAGTGATGTCTTCCAGATCAACTAGCTTAGTATTTGAAACCTTTTCTTTCCTCAAATAAGTAAATATACTCGCAACAGAAATACACCACAATTAAGCATGATATCATTATTCTTGAAATCCAAAACAGTAAATAAATTCAGGAAAATCTAATATGTTTGAATCCAAAACAACAATAATATAAAAGCAAACCTTTCGGTAGTCTTCATTTGACATATCCTCGAGCAACTTTGGACCTGATGACAAAAAGCCCCGTCCTAGTGGACTGTATGCCACAATCCCAATTCCGAGTTCTCTGGTAGATTAACAGGAAGGCGAATATCAGGATCTCGCATAGTTATAGACCGCACAACACAACAACAATAAACGTTCCCACAAGTGGGGAGTTATAGACCGCACATAAACACGAAAAACTAACAGAAAGAAGAATATACCTGCAAGTGGGGATTATTTCATCCTCTACATCTCTAGACCATAGAGACCATTCTAATTGTACTGCTGTTATTGGATGAACTGCATGTGCTCTTCTAATTGTTGATGCTGAAGCCTCGGATAGACCTATATATTTTGTTTTACCCTCTTCAACCAGCTTCTTAAGTTCTCCAACCTAGTAAATCAGGAACAAGAAATGCTGATAATTAACCATTTGAACAAAGATGTGAAACTGGTTAATCATATCGGAACTCCGTTAATTGGTGTAACAGCTGAAAATTTTGCTAGTCTATGCCACAACTCTTAAAATGCCACTCATACATTGATCAGTCATCAGCGGTACTAAGTGCTCATTTTAAGAGCTCTAACCAGCTTATCAAGCTTGCAAATATATGCTAACAGTTGCAAGAGTCTGAAAAGGAGTGTAGTTACATCTAATTTTTGTCCCGTCTTCTTTTTTTTAGTTTTCTGTTTCTGGATGATCGTGTCTTTCTTTCTTTCTTTTTTTCGTTCCTTTCTTCTCTTTTTTCTTATTCAACAAACAGGATGAGGAAATTGTGTTACTGATTTGGGTTATAAAGGTAATGATGTTACTACAAGCACATGAAGGGCGTGGTTGTAAACTACTAGATCGATTCTGAAAGTGATGATGTAGGTTGATGCAGCACCGGAGCAATAAGTGTACATAATTGCGTTGAAATATAAAGTAAATACAGGTACTGTAATGCTAATGCCAGAAATTTCTATTACAGTTTATAGTCTTAGTAAATACTAGTAATATTACTGCGACACTGAATATATTATTTGATTTTAGAAACAACACTACTTCCTCAGTAGCCATCCTTTGAGTAAGATCAAATATTACTTCATTTTTCAGAATAAGTAACCTGCAACTGCAATGAGTTATAAATGGAAAAAGAGATCTAACCGTGACTTCAATTGGCACACGTGTATCAACTCGGTGCTGATAGTACAAGTCAATGCAGTCAACATCAAGTCGCTTTAAGCTAGCCTCGCATGCTGCCCTTACATAGGCTGGATCTCCATGCACTGCTCTCTTTCCTTCTGCTTTCTTTTCATCTCCTAGCACAATACCAAATTTTGTTGCTAACACGACTCTTTCTCTCGTCCCACCCTTCAAAGCCTACATAGACGCATAATCACCAGAACTTAAGTAAAATTCTTGCAGAAAATTGTATAAAAAAGGGTTAAATGTACTCAATTGCCTATGCAATGCATGAGTTTATCCTAAGGCAGTGGTTTAATGGTTAATGAAGTCGGCGCAAACCTTACAAACTATGGTTCAAATCTCTACGGAGATAAGAAATACAGGTGACTTTTTCCCATCTGTCTAAGCCTTGGTGGGCTGAGTTACTCAATAACTATGTTGGTAGAAGGTGTCAGGTACCCCTTGAAATAATCAAGGTGTGTTAAAGCTGACCCGAACACCACTATCATTAGAAAAAATATATAGAGTACAATGGAAATACAATTTCACAACACTTTTGTCTCTGAACGTGTACCTCATATAAAGAAAATAACATTCAAAACAATAACTATTTGCCGGGAAAGAAGAAGGAAACTCGAAGACTAGAAGTATCAGGATCTGAAAATAATTGGCACTGATCTCAATTGTGCAGAACTTTCTACTAGTTGAGGCATACATGGCAAAATGTCAGCAGATTTAGTCAACACGATCGATTCACACATTTCATTCTTGAGCATGTAGAAAAGCAAATTATAGAGGCTCATCTAACAACAAAAGATTTTGATTCCATGAAACTGTTTATTCCATAGGATACAAAAGGTAAAACTATATATATCTCATATACTTAGGACTATAGGAGAAAGACAATACAATAATGAGGCTTATTCTATTGTCACATATGAATATAGTTAATACCCAGTGACATGGACTAGAATCCTCCCACTTTCTGATTCTGATGTAACTCTCAATTCATGAATAGAGCCTTATAGTCATACCCATAAGGAATGTCATTAAGAGTAAAATGAGAATATTAAAATTAAAGATTTATTAAAGTAGCATTCTTTTTTAAAGAGGTTTTAAAAAAAGAGTACGACATGATTGAAACAAGAAGAGTAAGTTTGACATCCTTGAACACTTTTATGACTAGATCGAGGTCATTTGGCGGATTTGGACCGGCAAGAGTGTTCTTGAGGAGTAGAGCTTTGCTAGGATTGAGGTGAGCTAAGACTTTGACCCTCAATGAGTGAATTTTTTCCAAGTTGAACTTGTTTGCTAAATGCTACGCGTATGCACATAACGTTATTTTAGAATGAATAGGATGCTCAAGTAGTCATACAACAAGTAAAACATGCAACAAATAAAGGCATGTAGCAAAACAAAGCATAATAAAGCCTAAGGGGTCGTTTGGTTGGGAAACAAGTTATCCATGATTAGCTATCCCGGGATTAGTTATCTTTCCCTCCCATGGGGATAAAAAAATACTACAATCGCCCCATAACTAATCCCCTGATTAGTTATACCACTATTTTATTCCAATCAAACGTGGGATAAACTCATCTCAAACTCCTTTTGTCTTCTTTTTATTATCTTGAGCCGAGGGTCTTTCGGAAACAGCCTCTCTACCCCTTCGGGGTAGGGTAAGGTCTGCGTACACACTACCCTCCCCAGACCCCACTCATGGGATTTTAATGGGTTATTGTTGTTGTTGTAATTATCCCTTATCCATCGTACCAAACGAGCCCTAAGGTTCTACCCTAGCATGGAAAACACACAGTGTCCGCATATATGCAAGGTGATAAATCTTGGAGCTTTTTTAATAACTGTTCGAGTCATCTTGCACGCACCTCAATTATTCTACTATATATTCTACTCTGTCTCTTCCAGGAAAGGTCATTCTCCCCCATATGTGACAATGTTCTCTTTTTACAGCCAAATACAAAGAAAGGTACAACACTTCAAGCATAATGTACAACCATCCTACTAAATAAACTGAGAGAATTAAATTCACAATAAAATTGAAAAATAAGCATTTGGGGAAAGGGAAAGAAGTTGAATACTACCTTGCCAAGTAGGATTTCGTTAGTGTGGGGTCCATAAACATCTGAAGTATCAAGAAGAGTGATACCAGAATTGATAGCATGGTGAATGAGTTGGATCATATCGGGTTCGGGTTTGGGCGGCCCATAAAAAGCGGACATACCCATACAACCAAGTCCTTGAGCTGACACTTCTAGCCCCTGTGAACCCAGTTTAATTCTTGGCACTTTTGTTCCTTCTTTAGCCATTGATGATGTGATTCAAGTTATTGTCTAACTCTGCAAATATGGTGGGAAAGACAGTAAGAGGTAGGCTTTATATGAAAGAGTGTACGTGGCTGCTGGTTGTGTGTTGGACGTCATTGATGATGGATTTTGATATTTTGGTTAGGCCTATGTAAGTACAAACGTCACTTGCTATAAATATATATATTTTTGGGTCCTTATCAAAAATAATTTGTTTGCGTCTCCCTCGTCACAATTTATACCTATATATCACAAGTTCGAGCCATGAAAGTAGCATTACGCTTCTATTAGGGTAAGCTGCCTATATCACATCTTCTTGAGATACGATTCTTTTTTGAACTGTGCGTAAATACAAAATACTTTGTGCAACGGACTGCCCTCGTCACAATTTTATGATACTTACTTTTTAATCCATATCATAAAGAATTATATTTTAAAATTTATTTTTTATTTTGATTTTAATGATATTATAGTTACATAAGTGTCTTTTAATTTATTTTGGATCATAAGTGTCAAATGTAATATTTTAAAATTCCATATTCAGTTAAAAGAAAAATAGAAACGGGAAAGTAACCTTTTATTTTTCTCTATTGGTCTAGGGAGTTCTAAAAGAACCAAAACTAATAATCTTCGTGGGCGTTTGGACATAAGAATTGTAAAATTCCAAAGAAAGTGAAAAAAAAACTCAAGTGAAAATGGTATTTAAAAATTAGAGTTGTGTTTGGATATGAATATAATTTTGGGTTGTTTTTGAAGTTTTGTGAGTGATCTGAATGAAAATTTTGAGAAACGGCTTTTTGGAGTTTTTTAAATTTTTGAAAAATTATAAAATGCATCTTCAAGTGAAAATTGAAAATTTTATGACCAAACGCTGATTTCAAAAAAAAATAAAAATTTTTCGAAAAAAAATAAAAAATTTCTTATGTCCAAACGGGCTCTTTACGTCGTTTTATATTCATGGAAGCTAGTGCATGCAAAACTTGCACTAAACCTGATCGGTTACCAAACACTGCAGCTCTTTTTTATGTAATTGTTTATAATTGTTATATAGCGATAATGTAAATAATCAATGATGTTAGTAGGTTTGTGTAACTTGAAAAATAAGATAAGCCATTTGATAGAAGATAATCCAGTTGTTCCTAAACACACTTTATTATTACTTCCAGTTTTTTTCGTTTTTTTATTTATTATCTTGTTATTATTTGTTGTTACTGCTGTTTTTCATCTTTTACTGAGGGTCTATCGGAAACAACTTATCTACTTTCACAAGATAGGGGTAAGGTATGCGTACACTTTATCTTGCCCACCCACTTGAGAATTACACTAGGTGGGCGTTTGGACATAAGTATTGTAAAATTTCGGGAAAACGTAAAATAAAATTCAAGTGAAAACGGTATTTGAAAATTAGAGTTGCGTTTGGATATGAATATAATTCTGGGTTGTTTTTGAATTTTATGAGTGTTCTGAGTGAAAAATTTGAAAAACAACTTTTTCAAAATTCATCTTCAAGCGAAAATTGAAAATTTTATGGCCAAACACTGATTTCGAAAAAAAAATAAAAATAAAATTAAAAAAAAGTGAAAAATTTCATGGACAAACGGGCTCTAGGTTTGTTATCATTGTATAAATTGAAAAATGGATCAGAGTTGTTTGACACCGTTAAGTTGGAGGGTCAAAATTGAGCCACTATTTTAATAGCAATGGGTCAATATTGCACCAAAACCCAAGAAGAGAACTCATTAGGTCAAACTATGTATCAAGCCATATTTTTCTATCATTTATATGTGTAAGTTACTTGTGTACAATGCAAGAAATCATTGGAGGTCCATTGAGAATCTGACTCCTCTCCATTTTCCCCAAGTTCTAACTTAGATTAGGGACATATGGTATAAATTAAAATTAATGGCTAAGATTTAGCTGACTAAAACAAAGCCCTAACCATGATTTAGATAATTAATAATTTGTCCATAATAAATATATTAAAACTTTTTTTCTCCCCTATTTTTTTTCCACAGCCGTATCAGCTTTTTTCAATTTTACTGAACTTTTATATTCATGAACTGGTTTACCTGAGAAAATCCAGTTCCAAGGAAGTTGACTTATCAAATGAAGGATATAAAATTATGAAGAGATAGTTTACACTCTATAAACATTAACCAATGCAACAGTGCTTCTAGGAATAGATATTACTTCTTCCAGTACATGAAAATGCCATAGTATGAAGGCGGAAAGAGGGGCAAAGTTTCATGACATTTTCTTCACAAATTTTATTAGGCTGGGCTAATTGTGTAGCAACAAGGTTGCTAGAATTTGAGTTGCTAAAGTTAGTGATGATTATTACAAAAACATTAATCATAAATTTAATAAGAATATATGTGAATAAGATAATCATAATTTCTTATGATTAAGGCACCTAAAAAGGGATAATTTCACATAAATACAACTCACACGCCTGACTTGCAACATAATAGCCTAGATACCACTTTGCAAATCTATAGCCCAAAAATAATAGGCTAATTCCCAAAAGACGGCTTATTTTACATAATCAACTACGGTTATTGCTCCCTCTTTATACAACCAGTTGTTTTCATTCTCTTGATTTCCTTTGATTATTAAGCATTTGATAAAAAAAAATGCAAATCAGCCACAACGCAACGCAAAAATCCTGAATAATACATCTTATCTGAAGGTAAGAAATTCAAACACTTTTATGTGCAATTGCTGAAGCAATCCAACAGGATAAAAAAAAACTTGGTAAATGAATTGTAGAATCCCTCCAACGCGTACAAAATCTTTTTCATACAGCACATACACGAAAAAGAAGAAGAGAAGGAAGTGTCAAACTTCAATAGAGGCCTCTTACACACTGACAATGTATATACATCCTTATAAACTGAAAAAATATATAATTATACAATATTATACACAAATATACACATTTATACACAATTATACAATACTGTATAAGTGTATATAAATGCCACCTATACAATATTTTCACTAGAAAACATAGAATGTCCAACACTACGCTTACTGTAAATAATGTATTAACTTGTATAAACATGTATAATAGTGTATAAGAGGTGTTTGTATCCATATACATAATTATACATTATTATACAGTGTTGACACAAACTGCTACATAGTTATGATTTTTTATCCAAGCCTCGAGTTGTAGTAGAAGGTATTGGATGATTCAACTCGTCAATAGGTTAACAATTTTGCGCCAACGATTCGGAATTCAACACAGATAAGATACACCTAATTTCAGATTCAAGGCTTCAAGGTCATAATAATAATGACCAGAACCTCAAACTTCAAAATCTTCCAAAATTAATGGTTATTTTTTGGTGCAAATCAAGTTTGAGAGCTATTTATTTTCAGATCTGTGTGTATTTTCATTTTTCTTTTAAAAATCTTCAATATTCTTCTGCTTGCCACCATGGACGACGGAGTAGGAGCCCGAGCCTTCTTCGAGCCATTGATGGCAGAACTGCGTAGGGGGTAGGGGATAGGGAATAACGGGGGCTAGGTTAAGAGAGGATGAGGGATCTATGTGGGTTAGAAAGAAAGAAGCGAGAGGCGGTGAGAGAGAATGTGGTGCGCTGGGAATGAAGAAAGAAGAAAATAATAAAAACCCTAAAAGTGTGTCTTTAATAATGGGCTAAAGGCTGAAAAATTTCTTTCAAGTTATGTACAACATGGGCTAAATAGGGTAAGAGCTTCAAATTTGGGCCATTTTCGGTTGGGCTGTTAGGCCAAGTGACAAGTGCCGTAATTCTTTCTAAATATTGAAGTGTCATATCCCCGCGATATCTAATTTTAAAGAGGAAGTTTCGAAGGAAAAAATTGCAATCAAATTAATGATTAAATCAAAAAAAAATGAAAAATAAACTGTAAGTTATTAATTCAAGTAAAATTGGAAGAAGACTATGTTGGGTTTTGGATGTATTTAATTAATATATTAAATAATTAAAAGAGGGTGAATGGGAAATGGAGGGAAATGAAATTTTTGAGTGAAATTTTAACGTTACCCCCCCCCCCCCCCGGCAAATGGGCATTGTCCCATATTGGAAAAGGAAGAGGTTTTTTATGGGTATATAAGCAATTGCTCTTCTTCTAGCTCTTAAAGAGTTGAGAAGAAGGCAAGCCTCGCGCCGTCGTCGTCGTCGCTCGGCTCGGCTTCGGCTACGGCTACGGCTACGGCTACAGCTACGGCTACGAATTCGGATTTAGTCAAATGATCGATTGATTGATTAACTTTTTGGACCAAATTTATTTGTTAATAGTAAAATGTTAACAGAAATGTTATTAAATATTTGTTTTAATAACAGAATATTAATATTAAA